CCATCTCTCCATCCAGCTACAGAAGCCCCATTCAGCAGTTTGTGCTATAGCACCATGCTGCAGCATCCCTGCACTTGAACTTGGGAATACAGGCTTTCCAGGACTGCAGGCAGAGCCCTTACCGCATTTCTCCTGAACCTCATCTTGCCTCTCGGGGGATTTGCTTCTGCCATCTCGCCTATGCACAATTACTCTCTTCTTTTCCAATTGTCAATGCAACATTGATGAAATATGAGCTGCTTCTTGGGTAGTATTTAAAAACGGCAGCCAAAAATCTCGATCAAACAAAGCTACTGTAGCTGCTTCCATTACCGCGGTGGCAGCACTGCAAAAAACCCACTATCCCTGATTAGTCAGCTGACAGATCGTTCCCTGCCGCTCATTGTAATTCAGAGTTGACACATTCCGCAATTACTTAGCCTGATTGAACCTTGTGGATTAGCTTGTGCTGGACAGCTCAAGAAGATCAGGCATGTCCTAAGTGTGGAGGAAGGAAACAGCCAAAGCTCCCCCCACTAGGAGCAGCCTCGATGGGAAAGGCTTTCTGCTATGCGCAATTGGATTTTTAAGGTGGAATGAGAAGAATCTTTGTGAAGGTAGTATTAACTGATAACCTTTTACTCCAGTCCTAGTCTGTGACTTCAATTCCAATGCTGGTTTTCTTTTTCTTTACATTCTATTCTGGATTTGCATATTCTGAAAAAGGTTATAGTTTGTAAATTTGCTGTAAATCTTGTTTGTAAACTTTCTTGATAATAATATAAAAATAACAAATTGTGTAAGATGTTTAGGATTCTCCCCCAAATTAACCTTTCCCTAAAATAGCTAAAAGAGAGCATTTTGAGTGTTCTCACAGCAGAATGATGATAAATTTTTAAAGTAATAGATGCTTTGATTTAATTTGTTCATTACACAGTGTACATATGAATCAACACTTCACAGTAACCTTAACATGTATAATTATGTGCCAATTAAAAATATTTAAAAATATTTCTTCTCATCATGAATTATAATCTGATTTCAATTATCCTTGAATCTGCATATTAAGGCTTTCAAATTTAATCGTATGATTATTTCATAGACACACATTTGAAATACACCACAGCTTTCACCAGAAATGCTTGCCAAATACCAACTATTCCCCCTGACATAAAAGCTTACTTTCAGTATTTTTTATTTCAGACAGTGTTCATTAATAATGGTTAAGATAAAATTAATGAGCCTTGACTATGGTTATAGAAGCTATATCACAGGCAGAAACATTTAAAACATTTCGTAAAAAGCAAAGAACACCTAAATTAACCTACAGCCATTCACACGCCATCACATCCTCTACCACATCATTCTTGCCCAATCACCATCAGGTTGGTAGTGATGAGAAGAAAGGGACTCTGACTCTTAAGTGCTCTGATGGGCTTAGCTGGTTTCTCTCCACTGAGAGAACAGCCTCAGGGGAAACAGAAATGGAACTATCACTGCCCACAAAATAAGTCAGGGTCACTTGCTTACTCCATGTGGCCAGAACCAAGACCTAGTCTTCATGGGGAAAAGAGAGTGAGAGATAGACACATCAGCTCCAAGCAACCTCTCCTGTTAACAAAAATAAAACTTTATGAAAAAAACTGATGACACGTGCCAACAATCACATAGTGAAAGTTGATGCAATCATGGCGTACAGTATCAGCCAGAAAAGGAGAAATGCTATGGGCTAGCATTGTGGCATAGCAGCCAAAGCGCCGTCTGCAACACGGGCATCCCAAACGAAACGGGCATCCCAAACGGAGCAGCGGATGAAAGATTCACATTCTCACTCTCGGCATATATGTGTGTATTTGGGTTTGGGTTTGTTTCCCTCTCTCTATAATTCTGCCTTTCAAATAAATAAATCTGTTTTAAAAAGAAAACAGCTAGGCAATAAAAATACTCTCACAGCAAATGCTACCTTTAGTATAAAATGATTTGTGATTGGCATAAATCAAGGTCTGACCAACAAGGCTAAAGACCAGTGTTAAAACACAGGAGCAGGGGCAGGAAACACGGCATGACAGGCTCAGGTTCAGTCTGCAGCACCAACATCCACTACAGACACTAGTTCATGTGCCAGCTGCTCCATTTTCAATCCAGCTCTCTGCGTATGGTCTGGAAAAGCAGTGGAGGATGGCTCGGGTCCTTGAGCGTTGTCTCAGAAACACTAAATTCGTCTATCCAAGTAGAGAGGACATCAACTGGAATTTATGAAATTTAAATTCTTGCTCCAGCTATTTCAGTACTTAAATATGTCACAGCATGTAGCCTTTCCAAAGTATACATGTTAATTTAATTTCATCATCTCTGAGCTAATCATACTACCTGCCTGTAGCATTTAAACAGGAGAGAAAATTCAAAAATCGATATTATTTAGTAAATATGAAAGTATTGCTACTTTATTTCTAAAGGCTTATTTGTTTATTTGAAGCAATTACACAGAGAGAGATGATATATACGTGTGTGTGTGTGTGTGTGTATATATATATGTATATATATATATATAGAGAGAGAGAGAGAGAATTTTCCATCTGCTGCTTCACTCCCCCAATGGTGGCAACAGCAGCAGCTTGGGACAAGATGAAGCCTCTTCCAGGTGTCCCATGTGGGTTCACGGGCCCAAGCATTTGGATCATTTTACATTGCTTTCCCAGACGCATTAACAGGGCGTCGGATCAGAAGTGGAGCAACTGAGATTTGAATTGGTGCCATACGGAATGCCAGAATCACAGATAGCAGCTTTACCCAGAATGCCATAGCATCAGCCCCACAATTTTTGGTAGCTCATTTGATACTAGCATTAGCTCCACTCTCCATTCTTCAGATTTAATACCTCTTGGGCCCAGCATTGTGGCCTAGCAGCTAAAAGCCCTCGCCTTGATCATGCCAGGATCCCTGATGGGTGCCAGTTATAATCGCAGCATTCCTTCTTCTCATCCAGCTCCCTGCTTTTGGCCTGGGAAAGCAGAAAAGGACAGCCCAAAGCCTTGGGACCCTGCACCCACATGGGAGTCCTGGAAAAAGTTCCTGGCTCCTGGCTTTGGATTGGCACAGCTCCGGCCGTTGCAGCCACTTGAGGAGTGAATCATCGGATGAAAGATCCTCTCTGCCTCTCCTCCTCTCTGTATATCTGCCTTTCCAATAAAAATAAATAAATTTAAAAAAAAGATTTAACACCTCTTAGAAAAATAAAACTTTAAATAAAACTTTGCGGACTTTTTGCCAAGATGTGGAATAATGCAAGCTGGCTGTGAAGAAAATAATGCTCTCATTCATTTTACAATATCAGTGCAAGTATATTTTTGTTTGTTGACAAGATAGCAATAGCAAAAAAATACTGACTCAGAAGTTCAACAATATACACTTTTGTTCTGCTTGCAACTGAATCAACTTGCTAAAATAGGAATGGCCTCCTGAGTCTGTCCAGAGACCAAGTAAACATTTTATTGAGCCTATCTGTTAGAATTTGGTTACATGGTACTTCTGCAGACAAATTCAGTCTTGCAAGCTCAGAAGCAATCTGAAGTTTCTCATATCCTCCATCTTCTAGGAAAAGAGAAGTGTAAGACCATGTCACTGTCTCCTAATGTGTCCCAGGTTTCCTGTGCTAGACACTTCTCAGCATGGCAATGCAACAGGTGGTAGAGAGAAGCAGGGTCTAACTGGAGTCCATTCAGTCAGTGGAGGCCTAAGCCTTAGAAGAGATTAATGGAATTCTTACTAGATCCAGGTTAGTTCTCACAGAAGCAAATGACCAAACGTGGCCCCCAAATTGCCCAGGCTTCCTGCCTTGCCTTATACTATCTCCCTCTACCAGAAATGACGGAATCTGCCATGTTGTAACGCAGCCAAGGAGATCCTGATCAGAGGCCAAACAGAAAGCCCTCTTGATCATTTTTTTTAAAGATTTATTTATTTATTGGAAAGTCAGATATACTGAGAGGAGGAGAGACAGAGAGGAAGATCTTCCTTCTGATGATTCACTCCCCAAGTGAGCACAACGGCCGATGCTATGCCGATCTGATGCTATGCCAATCCCGAGCCAGGAGCCAGAAACTTCTTCCGGGTATCCCACACGGGTGCAGGGTCCCAAAGCTTTGGGCCGTCCTCAACTGCTTTCCCAGGCCACAAGCAGGGAGCTGGATGGAAAGTGGAGCTGCTGAGATTAGAACTGGCGCCCATATGGGATCATGGCGCGTTCAAGGCGAGGACTTTAGCCGCTAGGCCACAATGCCTGGCCCAAGCCCTCTTGATCTTAAGACTGTTGTCTCCAACATTGACAGTTAAATAAATCTCTCTGTAATATAAAGCCCTCAGTTTATGATATTCTGTTAGGCATTGTGCCATACAGCAAGTTAAACCACTGCTTGCAAAACCATTATCCAACAGGAGTAGTGCTTTGAATCCTGGTTGCTCCACTTCAGATCCAGCTCTCCGCTAATGCATGTGGGAAGGCAGCCAAGGATGGCCCTTGCGGTTGGGCCGTGAAAACCCAAATGAAAATCCAGGTTCCAAGCTCCTGGTTTCAACCTGTTCCAACCACAGCCATTATAGCCATTTCAAGAGTTAACCAACTGATGAAAGATATGTCTCTCTCCATCTCTATAACTCTACCTTTCAAATAAATGGACAAATGAATACTTTCTAAAAACTTGAAAGGTACATTTTCTGAATAGTTGCAAACTTCTTTATACTTGAGTATACAACACAGTTCTTTTCACCACAAAAAAAAAAAAAACTTGCCTTGTTCTGAAACATACACAGTGCCATGAGTCCCCTCCCACTCATAAGGTGAACCACTAACTCTTCATCCTTGCATTCTTTCCAAGCAGTCTCCTCTAGCATGCTTCTTCATACTTTCCCTGTTCATCATCCAAGATATTTTTATTGTGTTCATCAGTACCAAAATAATTGATGTCACCAAAACAGAAAGCAAAATGTAAAACAAAAACTAGAAATCACTTATAGGTACTTACAGAAATTTTTTGAAGAGAAATTTTGACAGAAGCCCATGTATCCAATCTTCGATCCAGAATAATGGTAAAACGGGAGTCAGATCCATTTTTCCTATAAGAGGAAATAATACACTTTTCTTGATAATAACCTGCATTTGCTATGCTTGTAATAACTCTATATTTTATTTACATTTGAAGTTTGAAATGAAGACAAATTTGGATTCAGAAAGTCTGCAAAGTGCTCTAAAAGAACAGTTTGATTCTATATTTCCCAGCTCACTACACTTTTTTTAAGTGCTAATGTCATTCTTTTGAATAGAAAGTATAATCATAATGAAGACAGGCATGAAAATTGATGTAGAATGTAGAGTGTGGGAAGCCCAAAAAAAAAATGTCCTTTACAGCATCAGATTCAATTTTAATGCAATCTACCACGAGACAAGCAGCCATTCATCCATCCCCGAAAGGACTCTTTTCTGCTACTTGATAACCACTACCCTACGGAAATCAGGCTCTGCCTTCAACCTTCAACAGCTACACTGTAAATTTAGTCTTCCGGAGTCTGATCTTTGTTCAAATTGTAGCATCCTTTGTGTGTCCTATCAGAATCTTCTGGAAAATACTTCCTTTAAAATGTTTGTCTTCAAAGTAAACAAAATCTCCCAGGAAGCATTTGAAACTTTGTATTTTAAAGCTCTCTAACTGAAAATTATTTCTAATATCAAAAAAATTTTCCTAGTGTCTCCTAATATCACTTTCGAGTCCATTTATGACTCAGTTTTTTTTTTTTTATTACTCTTGGAAGAAATGAAGATATGGTTGGTAAGATTTACTTCTAAACAAATTAAAGCCATTATGTTCCTCATAGAGACAAAGAATGATAAACTCCCAATTTTATTTCCATAGATTCTCAGCACATTTTATTTCTTTTTATTTTTGATGATGTTTGTACAGTTGATCAGGATGGGAAGGATCAACGGATAGGGAAAACTGGATGAGCCCATTGTTTCTAAATTTTCTTTTTCTTCTTCCTGAATCTGGGCAGAGAGGGCAGATAAGGGGAGAAGCCACACCCAACCTCCCAACTACCTCAGTACCAAGGAATGGGTAACGGCTACCCAGTGTCATCCCAGGGTTCCCAATCTGGAGCATGTTCTGAGGGTTCTGCTTAAGGGGGTTTGATAGCTCTGAAAAGCTATCAGTCTCACAGATCCAAGGATTAGGAAATCCTTCCAAGGTCCATTGGCTGACATAGTTGACCTTAGAGTCTCCATTCACCCAGATATTTGCTGTCAACACTTGGATGGGGTAGTTGTCCAATTTGTTCTGCCCTCCTTCCTCTGCTATGGTACCAGATGTCTTCTGTGGACCTCAGTGAACCACCATATCCTCCATGTGCACCTGGGTATGCCAAACACTGTTCCATCTTAGCCACTGAGGAGGCCCAGTTCTGACACATGCACTCTACAGTCAGTCCACTTATCCTGCAATTCTCCCATGGTTGGAGTTCTGGGTCCAACTGAATTCAGTTGGAGGGATCCCAAAGAAACCTCATCTGAAGTGATCCCAGATCTGACTCTTGTGTGTGCTTGCCAGTACGGGGTCTGGCTCAGTTCGTCACCCACATCAACCTATGCACACACTGGTAGTTGCAATTGCTGGGTCAATTGTGTGTCTCCAGCCGTATCTCTTACTCAAACCAAGGGATGCTGTGGCCCAGCCCAACCCTGCCTATTACATACTTGACCCTCACGTACACACTTGACCATCACATACACACTTCAGGGTCATGTACATCAGAGGGAACTGTAGCCTAGCCGGAATGACCCCAATAACCCTCCCCAGGCCCTCCCTCAGCCCCAGTTCCCATGCTTGCCAGTTTGTGCAGCAGACTGGCTCAGTCTGTCCCACATCCCATTTAGCTCTCATATACATCAATGGGCATTGGAGCCTAGTTCAGCCTCACCAACCCACTATCCAGCCCACACTCATGCAGGTGGGTAACACCACTGTCTAGCCAGGCCCACCCCCAGCCCTGGTTTCATGCTCACTAGTGGGAATTGCAAGCCATCAAAGAGTTGCCCTTAGTTTCCCTACTGGGCCCACTCCCAGTCCAAGATCTTGAACTCTCCAGGTGATTCTGCAGTCTACCTTGACAAGATTTGCTCTCAGTCTCAGTGCTTGCCAACTCATGTTGCAGCAAAGCCCAACCAGCCTGCACCTACTTTGGGTCATGCATGCACCAGTGGATACAGATAGTTAGCCCAGCCTGGCTCTTCCTCTAACCCAATTCGTATGCAGGCCAACAGGTATTGTAGCCCTGCCTGGAATGGTCTGCTCACACCGCCCCGTCCCAGTTCTCAGGCGCACCAGTGTAAGCAGTGGCCCAGCAGGGGAACCCACATTGCCTGCCCCCTTACCAGGCTTGCACCCATCCCACTGGGTCTCACATGTGCTGGTGGGTGCTGCAGCCCAGTCTGGCATGGCCCACTTTACCTCCACATTTGCCAGGGGGTGTTGTAGCTTGGCACAGCCCGGACTGCACTGGTTCAAGCTCATGCAGTCCTAGGCCCAAAGTGAACCTGGGTGGTGTTCAGCCTAACCCAGCCTGTCCCACCCCCCTTCCTGGTTCTCACATCTGCCAGTGGGTGCTGTGAACTGGCCCAGCCTGCCCACCCACAAGACCTGATCCACACCCATGCTGGTGTGGATCTGGTCTGGGCTGCTCCTCGCCTTGGTTCTTGCGCTCATCTTCAAGGAGTGCATTGTGATAAAGGAGTTACCAAAACTCCTGAATCTATCTCCTCCCAGTGGCAAGTCTAGTGTGCACTGGGAGGTCCTTGACGCAGGCTTACTTACTCTACCTCTTGTCCTGGCAGGAACAGTGGTCCTGCCCAACCAGCTCACACCCATTCCAGTTCTTACTATCTGGTGCTATAGCACAGCCACACCTGGTCCACCCCAGACCCAGCTCTCACACAGTTCAGCGGGAGTGGAAACTTAGTCCAACCTGTCTGTCCTACATCCACCCTGGCTCTCACAAGCACCAGTGGGGCTTAGCCCATTTTGTACAGCAATTTCAGTAAATCTTCTAATTATTCATAATAGTAATAAGAGCTACACTAATAAGCATTTTTCCTCTCATGACAATAAATGAATATTTGATATAAAATAAATTGAATAAAATATAATGAAATACTATACCTTGCAACAGACGTCAGATAAATGAGAACGTTTGCGATGACATCCTCCGGTATACATCTGAAATTACAGTTTTCTGGAAATGTAATGATCCAAGCATTGTCCTTTCCCCGGCCACCTAAAATAATAAAAGTAATAATAACAATAAAGCAACCAAATTAGCAATCTATATGGCAACAGTGTAAATAACAGAATTTTAGATTTGAGGGAAACTAGTTAAATTATTTTAGGAGGAAAGATACAGAGAGGCCTTTGAATTTAGCTTGTTAAGAAATTTTTTTTCCTAAAGTCTTATTTATAATTCTTTGTATTTGCCTAAATTTAAGTAAGTAAAGATAAGCAATCATTTAAATAAATCAGCAATACAATATGACAGTGGCAAAGGAGATAAATTTTTTTAAAAAATCAGTCCAAAAGAAAGCAGAAATGGAGAAGGGAAATGATTTTTAAAAGGGGTGGGGACAAGCAGTTATACTAGTGATTAGGACACATCTCATTTTCAAGTTCATGGGTTCAATTCTGGACTCCAGCTACTGACTCCATCTTTTTGTCTCTGTAAGCTCTAGGCAATAGCAGTGATGGCTCATGCAGCTAGAGCCTTGCATTGTCTGCTCTTCGCACTTTAGCCCAGTCAACCTCCAAATATTCTGGTCATTTTTTGGGTGAGCCAGCAGATGAGAGTCCTGTCTCTGTTTGCAGATGAATATATAAAAATAACTTTAAATATTTTAAATGATAAACAATTAATGAGACAATTAGGAAACAAGCAGTAAGGTGATAAATTATAACACAACCAAATGAATAATCATGGTAATTGTGAATGTATTCAGAAATTAAAAGTCAAAATTCATCAAAATAAATCTCAACTGTATCCTGTCTCCAAGAAACACATCAAGTATAAAAATAAAAACATATTAAAAGCAAAATGATGGGACCCAGTGTGACAGCCTGGTAGCTAAAGTTCTTGCTTTGCATGCGCCAGGATACCATCCCTGTTTCACATCCAATTCCCTGCTTGTGGCATGGAAAAGCAGTCGAGGACTGCCCAAAGCCTTGGGACCCTACAACCATGTGAAAAACCCAGAAGAAGCTCCTGGCTCCTGGCTCCTGGCTTCGGATTGGCTCAGTTCTGGCCTTCATAGCCACTTGGGAAGTGAATCATCGGATGGAAGATCTTCCTCTCTGTCTCTTCTTCTCTTTGTAAATCTCTTCTTCTCTTTGTAAACTTTCCCATAAAAGTAAATATATCTTTAAAAAATAAAGCAAAGCGATGAAAATGGTATATGATGCCAATGTTACTCAAAACGACAGTGCCTAACATTACACAAAGTCAATTTCAGAGGCAAAACTATCTTGAAGAGAGGCCAATATTTTGGTGTAGCAAGTAAAGATGCAACCCGTTAAGTTAGCATCACATATCGGCTGTTTCCTGTCCTGGCTATTCCACTTCCAGTCCATCTCCCTGATACTGTACCCAGGAAGACAACAGAGAATGGCCCAAGACCTGGAAAAAGCTCCTGGCTCCCAGCTTCAGACCAGATCAGCGTTAGCCATTACAGCCATTTGCGGAGTAAATCAGCAGCAAAAGCTCAATCTCTCTCTCTGCCCCATCCTTTCATCTCTCCCTCTCTCCTGGTAACTCAGGTTTTTAAAATAAGCAAATAAATCTTTTTTAAAACTGAAAAAAGAATATTGTCATTTAACAATGACAATCAACTCATGCTGGGGTCCATGCAGTGGGTGTGGATGACATGAAGGTGTGAAGAGAACAGTCCCCTGCTGGCAAGGCCACAGGAGCTTCCCGCTGCAGGGCAAGGCCTGGCAGACATCTCTCCAACCACCTCAAGGCAGTTTCACCCCCCCCTTTGCATGGCCACCCAAACAGAATTCTGTAATTAAATGCTTTTGCACATAATAAGTGAATGACCTGTGATTTGTTTTGAACTTTATTGTATGTGGTGAAATGGTCATTTTTTTCCCCTTCAATTATTGTTTATAGCTATTTTCTGTATTTCCACTAAACTATTTTTGGTTTTGACTTGTTAAACTTGTCATTTGGCGAAGTAGTGTGAGGAGCGATTTGAAGGTCACCGTGAAGACTGATAGATACCCTGCCTTGCGCCATTCCTTCCTCGCAGCTCCCAAAATTGGCGTAGGTCTAGCTGTCCACCAATCAGATGTAACCCGGCATTCCACCTGAGAATCTCACCCCCAATCTCCCAACCCCGCCCACTCACCAATCATCCCCAGGCATTCACCTGCAGGCACCAAGTCCCTGGGGCCTGCCCTCAATCCCTCCCAATCCCCCCCACACACACACAACTTGCAGGCTCACCTGAACATAAAGGGCCCCAGGTGTCTCCACCTTCTCCCACCCCCCACCCCCGCCTGCCTGCGCTGTTCCCCCACCACCTGCACCCCATTCCTGCCTGCTGGAGCAACCTCCTAATATACCTCCTTGCATCTGGAGTTTTCAGCTCATGGTGAAGAACCCGGTTGTGGGAATCAGCTGCACTGAATAATATCATAATAACTAGAACTTTAACTTTTCAAAATAACTAAGAGTAAACCCTTTTACTTTAACACAAATTTAATATATTATCTCCTAACCTAAAGAAAAAGGAACAAAAGGAATAAGGAAGGAGAGTGAAAGGAAGGAGGAACGCAATATTATGTCTAAAAATACCATTATGTTCTTAGAATTATATCTAGAGTCACACCGAATCTGTTGTAAACGAATTAAAATAATGAAACAAAAACATGAAGCAAAACTGATGACAGAATATAGAAAAATCTCACCACTTGTCTCTCACTAATTGATCGTAAGGAGACTATGAACAAAACCCTCAAACAATATGAGCCCTACACTACTTCATCCAGCAAAAGCAGAAAACATACTCTTGTTTAACACACATGAAGAAATTCAAATTATCTGCGTGAGTCTTAAGAGAGAAGCCTTGTACCAAAATTATCTTTCTAAGGAAACTTCTCCAAAATATTACATGAAGTGATGATGAACCTTTACCGTGTGATACGCTAGAAATGGAAGAGCAGAGCGAAGATAGCGCTGGGGGTGAGGGCTTTCACTCTCAAGTTTTCAAAGAACTCAAAGGAATGAGTATATAAGTCCGAGCCAAGAGATCAAGCAAATAAAGAGCCTCTAATAGTACAGCATAGAGCTATTTATATAAGTAATGTAAAGTTAATATACACCTTGTATGTAATATAACTATACAGGTGCCAATGAAGGTGGTGAGCACTCTAGTTAAGGATGGAACCATGTAGAATTTAGGCAAACTACCTGAAAGAAAATGATACGTGGGGTCTGGCTTGGTAGCCTAGTGATTAAATCCTTGCCTTGCATGCACCAGGATTCCATATGGAGGCCAGTTCTAATCCCTGCAGCCCTGCTTCCCATCCAGCTCCCTGCTTATGACCTGGGAGAGCAGTCGAGGACGCCCAAGGTCTTGGAACCTTGCACCCACATGGGAGATCCAAAGGAGGCTCCTGGCTCCTGGCTTCAGCTCGTCTAGGTCCAGCCATTGCGCTCATTTGGGGAGTGAATCAGCAGATAGAAGATCTTCCTCTCTGTCGCTCCTCCTCACTATATAACTGACTTTCCAATAAAAATAAAATAAATCTTTTTAAAAAATAATATGTGGCTTCTGTAAGCGTAAATCATCCCTGGCTAGCCTATAAACTGCTATTACCATTGGGTGCTTTCAACTATTGTACAAGATGGTAAATTTGTAACAAAGGAATAAAAGAGATGTTTATACTCTAAACAGGGTAGTTATAATTTTATCTTCCCACAGGGAATGCTTTCTTCAAAAAAAAGAAAAAGAAAAAGATAGGCAGTAACATTTTTAAAACAGTTGCAAAGCAGATAGGAACAAGTACAGGCCAGGGACGATGCCCAGAGATGATTCTATTTGTCTGGGAAACATTAGTGATTTCAACTTAAAATTCCAACTCTGAAAGGTAAGCTTAAAATATTCCTTAACTTACCTGGACAGTACTAGAGCACCTGCTCTTACCCTCTTATCCACAGGGTCTGCATTTCAAGACTTGCAGGTATAATTAGGGGCAAACCTCTATGTACAATACTCTTTTTTTTTTTCTACATGTCCCTATGGTTTGCCACATAGTACCACAGTTGATACCCTGGTACCTTCTTTAGATTAGTACTCTTAATCTTGAGGGGCATTATTAAGTATAGTAAGAATTATTTGAACATCTGCACTGTAATAAACATGACAGCCAACTGACTGGTGGATAGCACATTTATCGTGGATACACAGGGCTGGACAAGGGGATGATTCACAGTCCAGGCTTGATGGCATAGCAGGGCAGGAAATTTCACAAGTCATTCAGAATAGTGTATAACAATACCTAGGAATTGTTCCTTTCTGAAGTTTTTCCAATTAACTTTTAAAACTCAGTTGAGTTTTGATAAGTCATACCATGGAAAAAAAAATATACACTGTGGGTGGGCCAGACTGGGCTGGGGGGCAAGCTGGGCTAGACTGTTGTACTCGCTGGCATGAGAGCCAGACTGGGTGCGGGCCAGCCCAGGGTGGCTGCAACACTCACTGGGCAAGTGCCAGGACAGGGTGAGAGTCACATTAGGTTTGGCCGCAGTACCCCTTGACAGGTGCAAGATCCAGGGCTGGAAACAGGCCCGGTAAAGAAACAGTAGGCACTCCTCTGCTCCCACTGGTGATCATGAGAGGCAGGGCCTGGAGCAGGCCAGGCTGGTGAAGCACCCCTTGGCATACACGTCTCCTGGGTCTGTAAGTAGATCAGGCTGACTAAGCTATAGCACCCATGGTTGTACACAAGAGCCAGAGAGGATGTAGAATAGACTGGGTAGGCCACAGCACATAACAGCACATGCAAATACTATGATTGGGAGCAGACTTGTTGGGGGTTATCGGGTATCTCCCCTACTAGGAACAGCGACTTCTGATGTGAGTGAAGACAGGGACTGTGACAGACTGGGCTGAGCTAGGCTACATCACCTATCAGTTCACATGAGAGATGGGAATTGGGGTAGAAGTGACCAGGTAGCTGCATCCACCTGTGCCTTGGCTGGCGCAGGTGACAGACCAAACCTGATCCTGCACTGGCTTTCATACAAAAGAGTCAAGTCTGAGGACACCTCAAGCAAGGCTTCTTGGGAGACTCCCCAGCTAGACCGCTAGACTGAAACTCAGACACAGGGAAAGTCACAATGTGTGGTCTAGCCTTGGAGTGCATGTGTTGAGACTGGGCCTGCTCAATTGCTGACGCCTATACAGTGGATGGCATGTCCAGCTGCACACAAAGGACATGACGACCAGCTCATCTAGGCCAGCAGGGGACATTGATGCCTCATCAGAGGATGAAGAGAAGAACAGGCTGCATCACTCTTCTAGCCAAGCTTTGCAACATGTTCCTGGGCCAGTGGATGAACTAAGGTGGACTTGGGCAGCCAACAGACCTTGGAGGGATTTTCTCAACCCAATGCAACAAAGCCAATGATGTCTCAGAACAATCAAAACCACTCAAGTAACATACTGGGGTTACTTCTTCCCCACATCAGAGCCTCTAAGGTGTCATTAAGTGACTGTCTCCCATCCCTGGGTGCTGATGTAGTTTGACAGTAAAGAGTGCCCTCCTCTCCCTCCTTGCGGACACAGGAGAAAACAAATTGAAACATTGTAGGCCCCGGTCTCCCAAGGGTTAACTCCACAGCTTAGCTGTTTCTCAAGGTGTAACAGGATGGGCAATCTTGGCCTGACACATTTAGCCCCTGGCTTGACAACAAGTTCCCTCCTTCCTGCTTCCCCTTTTACATGCCCTCGCGGGAGCTTAGGTGTTGCTTGAGCAGTGGGAAAATACTGGGAGGAGCCAAGCAGACTATAAAAGATGTGGATTGACTTTGAATAAATCGGCATCCTCTTTACAAGAATGACCCACTGTGGGTTGTCTGTTTTGTAACCCTAGTCCCTCCGCTTGGCTTGGGGGTACGCGGCGACGCCTGCTTTGCTGACAAAACATTTCTTTCATCCACCTTCCTCCATATCTCAACCCTCCCCATCCTAATTGGGGACCCACGTGGGTGTGCATTCCTCTCAATTATGTTAACATTAAAAATTTAGCATAATCTAAAAAGTATAGATTGGGGGAGGAAGAACTGCTAGAGTCACACACTTATGTCACTTTATAAAATATAAAACGAAATCAATTGAATTACCATTAATTCACAACTAATTATAATCATAAAAGCAGAGACCAGATTTCAGTGTCCAATTAGGATTATCTATAAATAAATGTTTTTTTTTTTTTAGTAAACTAAGTATATGTCATTTTAGAAGCAGATATTTGAAAGGAGAAAGTTTCCTGAAATCAGTATCTATGAAGCATTAATTTTCATAAAAATATGCATATACTGGCAAAACATTCTTTATCTGTTTAATATGATGAATGTGATGTTTCATTATATAGATTAATCTAGTATCAGAAAGTAACATTCATGTTGTAATGTAAAACTTTCCCCGGCGGCGTGGCCTAGCGGCTAAAGTCCTCGCCTTGAACGCGCCAGGATACCATATGGGTGCCAGTTCTAATCCCAGCAGCTCCACTTCCCATCCAGCTCCCTGCTTGTGCCCCGGGAAAGCAGCCGAGGACGGTCCAAAGCTTTGGGACCCTGCACCCGTGTGGGAGACCCAGAAGAAGTTCCTGGCTCCTGGCTTCGGATAGGCATAGCATTGGCAGTTGCACTTACTTCTCTCTCACTGTGTCTCCTCCTCTCTGTATATCTGACTTTCCAATAAATAAATAAACCTTTTTTTAAAAAAAAAAACTTTGCCCAGAATCTGAGCAGAAAAAGAGAGGAGTGGCTTACCATACTCATATAGTCTTAACTATATATGATTCTATTTCAGAAGCATTGATCTACAAAGGAAGAAGCAACCCAAATAGATGAATGGATAAACAAAATGTTGTATATACCTGTACATACAAAATAACAGTCCATGTAAAATAAAATGTTAATTGACCTTGAAAAAGAAGAAGTTCTGATACATGCTACAACACAGAACTTTGAAGATACTAAAAGAAATAAGCCAGGCACAGAAAGACACATATCATGCAGTTCCTGCTATTACATGTACCTAGAATAGTCAAACTTACAAAGATAGAAACTTTATGGTCTCCAAGGACTAAGGGGAAGAAGAAATGGAATGAGTTTCAACTCAACAAGGAAAAAAATACTCTGGAAATAATGGTAAAGTTGGTTGCATAAAAATAAGAATAACTTTGGGGTGGGGGCAGCAGAAAATCATTGTGTATATATTTAATGTCGCTGAAACATATCCTTCTTTGTCATTTTCTGCTTAGGTGTTTCCAATTTATTTGAAAGAGAGAGCTGCTGCTTCTTTCCCTGTATACTACAAACCTCCCCTATTAGTGGCAGAGATCCAAATACATGAGACATGAGTCGCTGCCTCCCAAGATGCTCATTAGCAGGAAGTTGGAAGCCTACGGGTCACTCTAGCCCACACGCTCCAATGTAGGATGCGAGCATCCCAACCGGTGACTTCCTCAAACACCTGTCTCATGAACACTCGTCAAATGGTTAATGTGATAAATTTCATGTTATATATATACACACACATACATATAGGGAGAGGAGAAACAAAAATTTTCTAAATGTGAAAATGCATATACATATTTCAGCAAAGTAAACTTTCTTTATGTAAATGGACTGTTTAAACAAATCCTAGTGCATGCTGGTTAATGAGGGTGACTCACCAGTATTTGTAATACATGTCTGAGTAATCAGAGCAATAATGGTGAAGGAAAAAAATCTCAAAGAAGCTATGGCAGCAGCCACTCCCTCACAGGACTCGCCACTCACCTAGCAGATAGATTCTAACTTCACCTAGCATGGGTTTTGGAAGATTCCTCTGAACATCAAATATAAAGGAGTGGTAACATTACCTTTATCACATACCTAAACATGTACGGATCTTTTAATTGTTTAAAATCTCTACTCTCTAAATGTCCATTTGTTTAGCAATGAGGTACACAATATATAAGTGTAATATTGAAATAGCAATTCTCAAATATATACATATACATGTTATACATGCAGCATACATATGCTTACATGTATTATATATTATATATGTATATATATATGCGGTTCATCTGGTAAGTAGCTATGTGTTAACCAAGTCACAGTGGGCTTACCAGACAAGAAGGCAATGTCTTGCATTAAGAAATGCTTGATGTCCTTTACATGGAGGAGCAGCTCAGCTTCTGTAAGAGACAGGGGAAAAAAAAAAAACAACACCCACGTTAAAAGTACAGCTTGAAACATACACGTTCGCTCACCGCGCTGGGAAGATGTCTGAGGGTCACACAGAACTATGTCCGCACACACACTACTGAGTTCCTCTCCTCCTCTTAGTAACATGGCAAGGGAATCACACTCTTGAACACAGCCCTGGGTATGTAAGACCAGTGACCTGCTTCTCAAACATCCGTGCTCATTCACCAGAAAGCCAAGCAGCCAAGGGGCCTGACCACAGGTTTCATGCTAAGGGTAGACAGTCATGTGCAAACACTGTAGCCGATCGTTGTCGCCTTCTGAGAATGCCTTTCACAGATTGCATCTCAGATCTTCTATTTTAGGGGATCCTTGAAAGAATCTGAAAGTAGATATTCTGATCCCATCTTAGACAAAAGAGTCTAAGGAGAAGACCTTGATAGGGCACATGTAGCCAGGCTCTAACCTCTGCCTGTTGCATTACTGGCTGTACAAACATGGGCAAGCTCTCTGAATCTGCTTCCTCTTCCAGAATTTGGGGCACAACAATATTCCTCGCAAGCTGGTGTGCCAAATAACTGTGAAATGTCTAGCATACTAGCCCTTGCTCATAAAGCAGCAACGCACTAATTCATTTTTTACCATTAAAGATGGAGCAAGGCCCATGCATTGTTCAGTAGTCTTAGTTGTCCTAGATCTTAAGGGTTAACTTGTAATACTCAATTTTAATGAACTCTATAGGGGCCAAAAATCAATGTTTAATACCTGTCCTTTTTCCAGGGACAAGAATACTTTTAAAAAGAAAAAAAAACAGGGCATTAAACTAGCCTATTTTGGATTGTTTTAATGCTGGTAGTTTCACATTACTGACTCAGTATTTTCCACCTGCTGTCTGATACAAAGTATCTTCAAAGTTCTGGTTTCCGGTGGTGTCAAGCTTGTGACCATTATCCTTAGTACTCCTCAAACTATGCCATAATGATGTGATTTACCAAGGTCAGTCCTTCTTTGGAGATTTAAAGAAGTTCTTAACAGATCGCACTATGTAAGACTTATCAGTTATAAAATGTTCCCCACATTTGAGACCCAAAGCAATGAACAAACACAGCAGTTTTCACATGTCAATACCAAGATGCTCTCAGGACATAAAAAACAAATTCTTAAAGAATTTGTTTTACACACACACACACACACACACACACACACACCGCCAAGTGCATGCCAGGTCAGTGCATATAAATTTTACACTTGCAATTCTTTCAATGCTATGAGTTTCCTCAGATAAGGAAATGTGTTTTATCAGTCACATATTTTTTAGCATGGAGACATGGCAGAAGGGTAATGCAAAAAGGCCTGGCACTCTCCCTGCTCTCTGGAGCCTGCGTAAGCAGCAATTGCTCAAACGTGTTCAAGCTTTTCAATGAGAGATCATTTCACATACAAATATCCTTGCATAATAACAAGCCCAATTTTGTCCTGTGCTTGCATCAGTGGGAATACTACCGACACAAATTGACTAATTTTATGGCAGACGGCAGATCTGGAGACACTAATGTGGGCAACTGGATTCCTCCCATACCATTCAGACTCTTGGATAGCTGTAGAAACTATGTCCATTTTTGTACAATTTAGACATTCATGTCGTAAGAAAGGCATTGAGACTTAAGATAAGATTGGGCTGGGAGTTTGAGGGCCAGGACTTAGTATTGGCTCAGAAGCTAAGCTGCTATTTTGAAAAGTTAGGCAATTCACCCCCTACCTCTGTCCTCATTACATTTTAGAAGTGAGGATGATACGGCAATAATTTCGAAGATCTCTTGGATCTTATGGGATCCAGACATGCAATGTCCATAGTTAAAATAAAGTCATACTATTTTTCTATCCTAAAATTCCTTTTACAAATATGCCAATAAAATAACATTTCCACACTAATGAAGAAAGATGAAGTGATCACTAAAATTACATGCTGCAACTTTAAAAAATGATTAAGTTCTGGGATCGAAACAGAAGAAGAAAAGATAGCACGTGAAAGGCAACACAAGACACAGAGTTATCAGTAAACAGCTACGAAGGCCAAGTGAGATTACTGCTGGGAACAATGAGAAACAGAAGCACTGCTGCTAGAGAAAATCATGACATTGATTTACATGCAGTTTTGTATCTGAGTCTGTTGATACTCCTCTGAAATGTAACAGTGAGACAAACAGGATTTATAATTGTTCTTTGTTTTGACCCTTTAAATTCTTTTACTCCAGGGCATGGAAAATAAAAAGTCTGGATTATCAAAGCTGGGTAAAGTCCATATTACAGCATGTTCCTGTTGACCAGATTCACATTTGACTGGGAGCTGGTTACCTTAACCCATGGAGAAAGTTCATTCCTTTACAGATGAAAAATACATTGTCAGGGCAGCCAGGGATTGCGGTACAACAGATGAATGTCTCTGCTTGGGCTGCCACATCCCTATGGTTTCAATCCCAGCCACTCCATTTCCATACACCATCCTGGCAGTGTAAATGGGAAGGCAGAGGCAGATGGCTCAGGCGCTTGGGCCCCCGCCACCCAGGTGGGAGACCAGGATGGAGCTTCTGGGTCCTGGCTTCGGCCTGGTCCAGATACACGGAGAAAGGAAGAGCAGGAAGAGTACAGCACAACAGCGAAGCTTTCTTCCTTTTTTCCTCTCTCTACCTCTCTCTCTTTTTCTCTGTTACTCTGCCTTTAAAAGCAGTATCTTCCCTCTTACCTATGTAAACAATATTAAAGTGTAAAATATTTTTTAAAAACTTAAGAAGTACCTTAAGAATCTCCGAACTGTCCTCCAGAATGGTCGCACTACTTCACATTGCCACAGCAGTGGATGAGGGGACTTTGTTCACCACATCCTCACTAACGTTTAGTGTTATCAGGTCTTCAAATCGTAGCCATGTGTATTCCCTAATTCACACACTACAAAAAAATAATCTACAGATATGAGAATAGTACTCTGAGATTGGATTAGTGTATGCAGCATTTGTTTATCCACCTAACAACCAGCAGATTGTTTTATCATTTCATGTATGCTTAGCCTTTTTGTTGTTCTTTGCTTATTTTTTCTTCTCTAATTTATTATCATATTACTCTCTACCTGCCTTTCTAGATACTATCACCTAATGAAATACTGCACAGAAATATGGCTCAATAGGCTAATCTTCCACCTGAAGGCACCAACATCCCATATGGGCTCCAGTCCAAGGCCTGGCTGCCCCACTTCCCATCCAGCTCCCTGCTTGTGGCCTGGGAAAGTAGTCTAGAACAGACCAAAGCCTTGGAACCCTGCACTCGTGTGGGAGGCCCGGAAGAAGCTCCTGGCTACTGGCCATTGAGAATATTATTTTTAAGTTTTAATTATTATTTTTATTGGAAAGGCAGATATACAGAGAGACGGAGAGACAGAGAGGAATATCTTCCTTCCAATGATTCACTCCCCAAGCGGCCACAGCGGCTGGAGCTGCTGGAGCTGAGCCAATCCGAAGCCAGGAGCCTCTTCCAGGTCTCCCACGTGGGTGCAGGGTCTCAAGGCTTTGGGCCATCCTCAACTGCTTTCCCATACCAAAAGCAGGGAGCTGGATGGGAAGTGGAGTTGGCGGGATTAGAACCAGCGCCCATACAGGATCCTGGCACGTTCAAAGCAAGGACTTTAGCCGCTACGCTATCATGCTGGGCCCCATTGTGAACATTTACAGAGTAGATCAGTAAATGCATGAATGTATCTCTCTCTACTCCCCCACCACCTCTTTCTCTCTTCCTCTCTCTCTCCCCCCACTTCCTCTCTTTCTCTCTTCCTCTCTCTCTTTTCCTCTTTGTGTGTGTGTGTCTGAGAGAGAGATGAATAAACAAATGTTAGAAAAAGAAAAAATCTATCCTCCAAACTAGGTATTAAAACCCTGGTCTTGCAGACAAGGAAAGAGAATCCAAGGTTTCCGTTCATGCACTTACTCACTCAAGGGATTAATATTAAACAATTTCCAGGTGTCTGACTCCTAGAAGATGGAAAAAAACTTTCATAGTGTCATCTATCTGGTCCCCAGAGAGGCATTCTAAAATCTGTCCCCAAAAGAACAATCAATTATCTTTAACACTAATTATTAGTTACCTACAATTCCATTACCTCCCATTTTCCTCCAGACAGGTTGTATACTGAACTGTATCAAGATTTTTACAATCATTCGTGGGGGAAAAATGCATTGTTTTTAAAGACTGAACTGCTTTACAGCAGTGCTTACTTTCAGCATTCATCTCTCACAGTTCCCTGTTGCTGATGACGTGTAGGACATGTGAAATGGGGTTTTGTTTTGGTTCTTAAATCCTGCTGCAAGCAGATGAGATTCTCAGAGTATAATTTCCCTCTTTCAATCCGAACACCATATACTCCATACCACCAGTAAGCAGTAATGACTCAACAAACTGAACTGCTGTCTTGATAAATATTACGCTTCAGAAGGTGGAACAAATAAAAGGGTTAATTTGAAACCATCACAAAATGAATTCCCATTAGACTACAGCAGAACAAACGGTACACTACCTGTTTTGCAATAAAGATACAGGAAAAAAGACTTGCATAATTCCACATTAACAAAACAAAACCAAGATTTACACCAAATTGTCTTACTAACTCCTCCTGGAGCCTCCTTCCAATTCATTACAATTCAATTCATCAACCATCTACTGAATTCCTGGTTTTTTTCCTACTCTGCTTGGTGCTGTGACCCATGGGAATATTTAGATTGCCCTGTCCCTGCTGTTCCACTTCCCATCCTGCTTCCTGCTTGTGGCCTCCCAGACAGACAGTTTAGCACTCCAGCTCCATACAAGCTTTGATCCTCCTCCATCAGTTTCCCCAAAGCAATCACAGAGCACTCAAGAGCCAGAGAGCCATTTCTGTATTTTCAACCTTAAGTCTTCCATAA